GGACAGATGAGGAGTTATGTAAATGAACCAGGCGGACGGGGGAGTCTGAAACAAACCAGGTTTAAGTGTCGGGTTTTGTGTAAAAGTAAATTATGTACAAGTTGTCTCTACTTTGAAACAGTAGAATAAGTAAAGAGCATCACTCCCATTCTCATGTAACACCATTTTCAGAAGAAATGACGCTCTGAGTGAAGGCATCCGAAAGGAATAATTTTCTAAAGTTACCCCCAGTAATATTATAATATGAACATCAAAATGTTATACAATACCGACAGGTTGGTAGGTAAGACACATAGGCAACAGTTAGGCAACTTTATTCCGAAACGTTTCGCCTACACAGTAGGCTTCTTCAGTGGAATACAGAAAGTAGGCAGGAGCAGTGGAGATGGAAGACGATGAATCATCCATCACCTTGAATCGTGGATTTGAGGTTGTTGTCCCTGCCTGGAGAAGTTCATTCCATGACTTGGAAATGAACTTCTCCGGCTATGGGGAAATGAATTCTCCAGGCTGGGGATGACAACTCAAATTCTACGACTTTAAGGGTGATGGACTGTTACATCGTCTTCACTTCCACTGTCCTGCCTATTTCTGTATTCGACTAAGAAACCTACTTGTGCAAAATTTCGGAATAAAAATTGCCTAACTGTTGCTATGTGTCTTACCTACCATTATTATGATACACTTTTTTCGATGTTGGCTAGAGAAAAAAATTTTTTCTTGCGTCATCTACAATCATTAGTCCACATTCTTTTATGTTAATTTCTTACTGGGGGTGTATTTATCATATTTAAATTTACTTCATGTTTATTATATAATTTTTAAATATATCATGTGGATTAATGAAAATGTGTTATTAACAAATATTGACATTTAATGAGACTCAGTGATTATTATTTAGTATTTCTCATTACTAATATGGGGATCTCAAACAAAGACACATTATGATTTTAACTTTTTCAAGTTGGACCCCCCGATCCTAATTCCTCTCAGTGTTGTGAATTAAAAAAAAAAAAAAAAAAAAAAAATTCTTATGAAAGTAATTTTTTTTCCCGATGGTTATGACACCAAAATACGAAATTTGGTGGAAAAAAATTACAGAATTCTTCTTGCGAAATTAGCGGCTTTGGGATATATCGCATCAGCGATTTCGCCCACACTGAGCCCTATTTTTGGCCAATTCCATTGTTCCAGTTGACCAAACTCATAGATATATTTTTAGAACTGCATTTGTTCTATCGACTGAGTACAAGAAACCTCCCATTTACTGATTTCAACTACCCAATAAAGTGGTCAGAAATTGGCAATTTGACCAATTTCAAGCAAATTTCAAAATAGATTCCGGAATAAATAATGAAGACATTCCTGGCACTAAAATAACGTTTTCTCTGTTCATTAGTCACGTCTCCAGGCCCCTCTTATATTACTCTTGCTTTCCATTTTGAATTTTTATTCTCACAAAAATAGAAGATTTACTGTTATGCAGACTACTGCATTATTATATAATTGTATACATAATGCCAACCCACTTGTGACTGCGTATCAGACTGGCCTGTTGGACATGTATTAGACGGTGATGTCATTTGTTTACTCTTGAACATCGGCAAATATTGAACATTTCTGCTACTTTGAACTCAATTTCAAGGTACTAATCATTGTGAAACCAATCAAAATCATCTCTATTACTGTGATACATCTTCCATTCCATCAAATGAGACCAAGAAAAGGGGAATACAACCATAAACATCATATAAAAATACACCTCAAAGTCAGTGAAGTAATCCAAAAACACAATTTTTTTTTTCTCATTATGCACTGTAGCTGCAAGATTTGTTTTATACTGTGCACACTGACCACGCAGACCCATTCTCTCACATGTAGGTCTACCAGTTTTCTCCTGCTAGATTGGAAGCCACTAGAATTTTGGGGTATTAATACTTCACCAACACTGGCTCTAAGACGTATCTATACGGCACCAACAGTGAAAGGGTTAATATGTACCTGCATGCCAGCATAGTGTGTAAGTATATTTAGGTATAGGTATACATAAAATATGAAATAACTTTTAAAAGCACTTGGAATTTTGGAAAGTTTCCAGACATAATGGAGAGACGTGGTGTTCACGGATCCCACAGAGAATGTAAATAAACCGGGTGGGGCGCAGTGACTGAATTAAAAATTCAGGTGGGGGGGGGGGGAGGCCATATAGTGAGTCTTGGTCATAATTTGAAATGTCCCTATTAGCGGAATGCCATAAAGCGGGGCCCTACGTATATCATTCACTCTTCCTGTTTCACCATGCTACATATATCATCTACACTGCTTGTTTATCATGTTGCATACATCATCCCCACTGCATGTTTTATCGTGCTGCATATATCTATTCAACAAGTTTCACCATGCTGCATGTATCATCCACTCTGCTTGTTTCATCATGCTGCATGTATCATCCACTCTGCTTGTTTCACCATGCTGCATGTATCATCCACTCTGCTTGTTTCATCATGCTGCATGTATCATCCACTCTCCTTGTTTCATCATGCTGCATGTATCATCCACTCTGCTTGTTTCATCATGCTGCATGTATCATCCACTGTGCTTGTTTCACCATGCTGCATGTATCATCCACTCTGCTTGTTTCACAATGCTGCATGTATCATCCACTCTGCTTGTTTCACCATGCTGCATGTATCATCCACTCTGCTTGTTTCATCATGCTGCATGTATCATCCACTCTGCTTGTTTCATCATGCTGCACGTATCATCCACTCTGCTTGTTTCACAATGCTGCATGTATCATCCACTCTGCTCATTTCACCATGCTGCATGTATCATCCACTCTGCTTGTTTCACCATGCTGCATATATCATCCACTCTGCTTGTTTCATCATGCTGCATGTATCATCCACTCTGCTTGTTTCATCATGCTGCATATATCATCCACTCTGCTTGTTTCACCATGCTGCATATATCATCCACTCTGCTTGTTTCATCATGCTGCACATATCATCCACTCTGCTTGTTTCATCATGATGCATGTATCATCCACTCTGCTTGTTTCATCATGCTGCATATATCATCCACTGTTTCATCATGCTGCATGTATCATCCACTGTGCTTGTTTTATCATGCTGCATGTATCATCCACTCTGCTTGTTTCATCATGCTGCATGTATCATCCACTCTGCTTGTTTCACCATGCTGCATGTATCATCCACTCTGCTTGTTTCACCATACTGCATGTATCATCCACTCTGCTTGTTTCATCATGCTGCATGTATCATCCACTCTGCTTGTTTCACCATGCTGCATGTATCATCCACTCTGCTTGTTTCATCATGCTGCATGTATCATCCACTCTGCTTGTTTCACCATGCTGCATGTATCATCCACTCTGCTTGTTTCATCATGCTGCATGTATCATCCACTCTGCTTGTTTCACCATGCTGCATGTATCATCCACTCTGCTTGTTTCACCATACTGCATGTATCATCCACTCTGCTTGTTTCACCATGCTGCATGTATCATCCACTCTGCTTGTTTCACCATGCTGCATGTATCATCCACTCTGCTTGTTTCATCATGCTGCATGTATCATCCACTCTGCTTGTTTCATCATGCTGCATGTATCATCCACTCTGCTTGTTTTTACCATGCTGCATGTATCATCCACTCTGCTTGTTTCATCATGCTGCATGTATCATCCACTCTGCTTGTTTCATCATGCTGCATGTATCATCCACTCTGCTTGTTTCATCATGCTGCATATATCATCCACTCTGCTTGTTTCACCATGCTGCATGTATCATCCACTCTGCTTGTTTCATCATGCTGCATGTATCATCCACTCTGCTTGTTTCACCATGCTGCATGTATCATCCACTCTGCTTGTTTCATCATGCTGCATATATCATCCACTCTGCTTGTTTCACCATGCTGCATATATCATCCACTCTGCTTGTTTCATCATGCTGCATGTATCATCCACTCTGCTTGTTTCATCATGCTGCATATATCATCCACTCTGCTTGTTTCACCATGCTGCATATAACATTTCAAATCATCCACTTAGTGCAATAAAAGTGAAAAATTCTGAAACATAATATATATAAAAACTAAAAAATCATAAACTAGCCCAAACTGATTTGCAAATTAAAACAATTATTAAATAAAGAATGAGATAAAAATATGCAATATATATAAAAGAAAAAGGGATGGAGAAAAAGAGCTTAATGCACCAGACATTGGAAACAGCCTTTATTTTGTCTAGATTATTATAGATGTCGTACCTGTCAAGATGACTATGGGCAAGGTGGTCTTGGTGAATGTCTCCTTTGTATACATGTCTAATGCAAATACAGGGTATAACTTCTCGCAGTACTGATTTTCTTGCACTATGTACTTTAACTTACCCTAACTACACCAAGCACAATTATCAAATGATCTCTAATATTACTAGAATGCTTTGAGAGTAGATTTTGCGAGAAGTCACACCTCTTAAGCAATAAAAAAAAAAAAAAAGGATTTTGTCACTGATACAAGGATTAACTTATGTTCACAAAACTGAATAAAAGATACACAAGATGGATGTTCTGAGTTTTCTCATATGATCACTATCTTCAACAATTCTAGTTTTTTATGTATATCTACAATAATGAATGAAAACTGTGTGTGTTTGATTAAACACACATCAAATAATAATGTAAAAAAAAAAAAAAAAAAAAACTTACACAAATGATACATTTGTGTATCAAATTTTGAATACAATAATACATTATTACAAGATGTAAAGCTTTTAAAGTTATTTTCAGCTGAAAAGTGAAAATATTATTCAGTGACAAAATCCTTGGTGTCACCCTCATTAATGATGATGCTACATAAAACAATAATTGTAATGAATGTATCTGATCAATCACTACAGCAGAAAATAAGACTATTAATGAGGGTAAGAAAAATATATAACAATCATGTGCAAAATAAATACATGTGACGAACATACCTGATTCCCTCTTAAGATTCTTGTGTTCGGAACAGAAACATCGTTCTGGAATGGTTTTTTGGATATCTCTACGTCTGAATCGTCATCATCATCTGGATCAATCTTCAACATAAGTGCTTTAAACTGGAGGAGAAAAAGCAATGATAAAAACTTCTAATTATTTTAAACTGTAATGAAATAGAATGGAAAACTCCTTCCCCTTGCACAATTCGTGTGCATATATTACAAAAAATAAGTTGACTAAGATGTTTCACAGTGATTATTTCACTTATCCACTAAATCTCCAGTTACTATTATACTTTCACTTATAAATCCTCTTAAGTACGCAGTCTCTACACTTTCCACATATATTCTACTGCATTCTCCTTATACGTTAATTAACTCAATTTTGGACTAAATTTATGCTCAAGTTATACGTCTGCTCCACTTCCCATTTCCATCTACATATTATAAATCTGTACTCAAGCTTCCTGAGTCTTTTAACGATGAAATTACGAAAATTTACAGGGCCTACTTTTAACCTCTCTGTACTTGGAAAACTAGTCCTAGACTCAAATTTATAACAAAAAGTTTTGAATAAATATGCCTTTATCCAGACATCTTACCTAAACTTTAGTGTAAAGAGTAAAGTTGACAGTATCTTGTTAAGCAACAGTCAAGCTGACATTATCTTGTAAGCAACAGTCAAGTTGACAGTATCTTGTTAAGCAACAGTCAAGTTGACATTATCATGTAAGCAACAGTCAAGTTGACATTATCTTGTTAAGCAACAGTCAAGTTGACAATATCTTGTAAGTAACAGTCAAGTTGACAATATTTTGTAAGCAACAGTCAAGTTGACATTATCTTGTTAAACATACAGTCAAGTTGACATTATCTTGTTAAGCAACAGTCAAGTTGACAATATCTTGCTAAGCAACAGTCAAGTTTACATTATCTTGTTAAACAACAGTCAAGTTGACATTATCTTGTTAAGCAACAGTCAAGTTGACAATATCTTGCTAAGCAACAGTCAAGTTGACATTATCTTGTTAAACAACAGTCAAGTTGACATTATCTTGTTAAGCAACAGTCAAGTTGACAATATCTTGTTAAGCAACAGTCAAGTTGACATTATCTTGTTAAGCAACAGTCAAGTTTACATTATCTTGTTAAGCAACAGTCAAGTTGACATTATCTTGTTAAGCAACAGTCAAGTTGACAATATCTTGTACACAACTGTCAAATTGTTTTCTTACAATTTTGTAATCACAAAAGTTACTTTAACTATATTACACACCTTTTGTGCTGAACATAAAATACTGTTGCTAATGTGAAATATGGCATTCATGCTCTGAAGTATAATAAAATAGGATTTCTTCCAACTTGCTACATGACAAAGAATTACCTATACTCAAACACAGCTGAATCCAATCAAAATATTTAGAGCATATTGGTTTATGAAATATGAACATGTTTACTATAATCAAAACACTATCCCAGAAAATATATATTTTCATTCATTACTAATTGTTTGGAATGAACAGCATTATTATTATTATTATTATTATAAAGCTTGGGTTTGCATTATTCATCAAGATTGCATTAATGGTAGAGGTTAATCATCTACATAATTATAACAAAATTTACTGTGAAAAGCCTAAAACTGTGGCACTTACATTGAGGTACTGGTTAATGAGGTCAATCTTTGGCCTAGTATCATCTACAGAATCAATGTCTTGGCTTGGCTCCTCTTTTAACCGCTTGAGTATTGGCTTGGGGTTAAACTTGGCTGAACTTTTTCTAGATGAACTTTTTTCATACTGTTTTGAAGTATCGGAGGGAGAATACTGTGTTATTTTTCTGTGGAAAGAAAACACCTATGTAGATATTTGTAGCTGTACAACTTACTATTTATTATCACCCATCTCAAAAAAAAAAAAAAAAAAAAAAAAAAAAAAAAAAAAAAAAAAAAAAAAAAAAAAAAAAAAAATTAGAAGTTTGCATTTAAATAAAACAATAGTCAACTTAAATAATTTTTTTTTTAATACTAGCCATCTCCCAATGAGGCATGGTGCCATCATTCACTATCACTGCCTTGCAGAGGCACACACATTACACTGTAGATGCCTCTCCAACCTATAAATATTTCGCCACTAGAGTGCAGGTACTGTACCTCCCACCTTCTAGACTCAAGTCCAGCTAACCATTTCCCTTAATTCCTTCACAGAATGTTACCATGCTCACACACTAACAACTCAAGTCCCAAAAATCATTTGCCCCTACTCCTAACAAGTTCCCACACACCTGCTGCATGTCCAAGCCCTTGACACACAAAACAACCTCTACTCCCTCCTTCCAACCCTTTATAGGAAAACCCTTACCCTGCCTTACCTCCGCAACAGATTTACACACCCCTCAAGTCATCCTAATTTGCTCCATCCTCTCTAAATGTCCAAACCATCTTAACAACCCCTCTTCAGCCATCTGGATAATACTTTTAGTAATTCTTCACCTTCTCCTCATTTCCAAATAACAAATTATCTGTATAATATTTATGCCACTTAGACACGACTCCACTGCCTCCAACCTTCTCGCTGCAACATTCATAACCCGTGCTTCACGCCCATATAAATGTTGGTACTATATTCTCATACATTCCTCTTTTTGCCACCATGGATAACATTCTTTGTCTCCAGAGATCCCTCAGCATACCACTTACCTTTCTCTCATCATCAATTCTATGGTTCACCTCGTCTTTCATATACCCATTCATCAACAAGTCCACTCCCAAATGTCTGAACACATTCATTTCATCCATACTCCCTACTTCTATGACTCACGAAATCGTAATGACACGATTGCAAACAAACCATACCCCGGCCAGGATTGAACCCGCGGTCAGAGTCTCAAAACTCCAGCCCGTCGCGTTAGCCACTAGACCAGCTAGCCACAATAAGATTCGTCCAACTAGGTATATTTCTACACCATAGGAAGGTTAGCACAGGCACCACTGTGACCACAAATGCAAGTTTTTACAGACGAACCTCCAGCTAGTGTGGCCGTGACGAACTCTAGCTCAAGTCCCTTCACTGCCGTCAACATGACTCACGAAATCGTAATGACACGATTGCAAACAAACCATACCCCGGCCGGGATTGAACCCGCGGTCAGAGAGTCTCAAAACTCCAGCCCGTCGTGTTAGCCACTAGACCAGCTAGCCACAATAAGATTCGTCCAACTAGGTATATTTCTACACCATAGGAAGGTTAGCACAGGCACCACTGTGACCACAAATGCAAGTTTTTACAGACAAATCTCCAGCTAGCGTGGCCGTGACGAACTCTAGCTCAAGTCCCTTCACTTTGAGATTCTCTGACCGCGGGTTAAATCCCGGCCGGGGTATGGTTTGTTTGTTTGACTGATACACTCTTGAAGTCATTCTGTTTCGCTCCATTCTCTCTACATGTCCGAACCACTTCAACAACCCTTCCTCAGCCCTCTGGACAACAGTTTTGGCAATCCCGCACCTCCTCCTAACTTCCAAACTACGAACTCTCTGCAATATATTCACACCACACATTGCCCTCAGACATGACATCTTCACTGCCTCCAGCCTTCTCCTCGCTGCAACATTCATCGCCCATGCTTCACACCCATATAGGAGTGTTGGTAAAACTATACTCTCAATACATTCCCCTCTTTGCCTCCAAGGACAAAGTTCTTTGTCTCCACAGACTCCTAAGTGCGCCACTCACCCTTTTCCCCTCATCAATTCTATGATTCACCTCATCTTTCATAGACCCATCCGCTGACACGTACACTCCCAAATATCTGAATGCATTCACCTCTTCCATACTCTCTCCCTCCAATCTGATATCCAATCTTTCATCACCTAATCTTTTTGTTATCCTCATAACCTTACTCTTTCCTGTATTCACTTTTAATTTTCTTCTTTTACATTTTTTTTTTTCAACAAGTCGGCCGTCTCCCACCGAGGCAGGGTGACCCAAAAAAGAAAGAAAATCCCCAAAAAGAAAATACTTTCATCATCATTCAACACTTTCACCACACTCGCACATTATCACTGTTTTTCCAGAGATGCTCAGAATACAACAGTTTAGAAGCATACACATATAAAGATACACAACATATCCCTCCAAACTGCCAATATCTTTTACATACCCTACCAAATTCATTCACCAACCTCTGCAACTTCTCTTCAGAATCTCCCAAGAGCACAGTGTCATCAGCAAAGAGCAACTGTGACAACTCCCACTTTGTGTGTGACTCTATATCTTTTAACTCTACGCCTCTTGCCAAGACCCTCGCATTTACTTCTCTTACAACCCCATCTATAAATATATTAAACAACCACGGTGACATCACACATCCTTGTCTAAGGCCTACTTTTACTGGGAAATAATCTCCCTCTTTCCTACATACTCTAACTTGAGCCTCACTCTCCTCGTAAAAACTCTTCACTGCTTTCAGTAACCTACCTCCTATACCATACACCTGCAACATCTGCCACATTGCCCCCCTATCCACCCTGTCATATGCCTTTTCCAAATCCAAAAATGCCACAAAAACCTCTTTAGACTTATCTAAATACTGTTCACTTATATGTTTCACTGTAAACACCTGGTCCACACACCCCCTACCTTTCTTAAAGCCTTCTTGTTCATCTGCTATCCTATTCTCCATCTTACTCTTAATTCTTTCAAAAATAACTCTACCATACACTTTACCAGGTGTACTCAACAGACTTATCCCCCTATAATTTTTGCAGTCTCTTTTGTCCCCTTTGCCTTTATACAAAGGAAACTATGCATGCTCTCTGCCAATCCCTAGGTACCTTACCCTCTTCCATACATTTATTAAATAATAGCACCAGCCACTCCAAAACTATATCCCCACCTTCTTTTAACATTTCTATCTTTATCCAATCAATCCCAGCTGCCTTACCCCCTTTCATTTTACCTACTGCCTCACAAACTTCCCCCCCACTCACAACTGGCTCTTCCTCACTCCTACCCTCCAAAATTTGTCCACCAACCTTTGCAACTTCTCTTCAGAATCACCCAAAAGCATAGTGTCAAAGGCAAAAACAAATTGTGATAATTCCCATTTTATTGTCACTGACAAAAAAGAAATTGTGATAACTCCCATTTTATATTAGATTCTGCATATTTTAATTCCATATCTCTCCCCAACACCCGAGCACTCACTTCTTTTACAACCCATCTATATATATGTTAAACAATCATAGTGACAATACACATCCCTGTCTAAGGAGTACTTTTAATGAAAAATAATCTCCCTCTCTCCTACACAACCTAACCTGAGCCTCACACTCCCCAGAAAAACCTCTTAATATCATTCAGTAACATAACACCTATTCCATATGTTTGGATCATCTGCCACATTGCTTCCCTATCCACCCTATCATATGCCTTTACTAAACCCATGTAAGTGAGGTAAACCTCCCTAACTAAATATTTGTTCTATTATATGCTTCAACATAAACTCTTGATCTGCAAGTGACACTGAGCTGAAAAAGAAAGTTTCTCTAGTCAGTCCCTGCTCACTGATGCAACACACTCAGCCAATATCATGAATGCTTAGCCACTCTACTCCAGCGATACATTAGCTGGCGCTAAATTATTTAAGAGAATTCCCTCCTGCTCAGTACAGCATCATAACCTAGTGTTTTAACCCATAAACTGTCCAAATGTAGATCTACATTTGCTCGCGTAGTGCTCTAAACATAGATCTACATTTTTTTTTACTTTGTTTCTTATGGAGAAAATCAAAATTAGAGCGCTACACGCGCAAACATAGATCTACGTTTGGAGAGTTTAAGGGTTGATCACAACACAATATTATATCAGTGTTCTTGAACTGTTTTCTTCATAAATTAACAGTGATTTAGTGAACTCCTTAATTAATACACTGTGAATGAGTGACTGTGGCAATGTGCTGTGTGTGTGTGTGTGTGTGTGTGTGTGTGTGTGTGTGTGTGTGTGTGTGTGTGTGTGTGTGTGTGTGTGTGTGTGTGTGTGTGTGTGAGTGTGTGAGTGTGAGTGTGTGAGTGTGAGTGTGTGTGTGTGTGTGAGTGTGTGAGTGTGAGTGTGTGTGTGTGTGAGTGTGTGAGTGTGTGAGTGTGAGAGTGTGAGTGTGAGAGTAGTGTGAGAGTGTGTGAGTGTGTGAGAGTTGTTGTGATGTGTGTGTGGGTGTGTGTGTGTGTGGTGTGTGTGTGTGTGTGTGTGTGTGTGTGTGTGGTGTGTGTGTGTGTGTTGTGTGTGTGGTGTGGTGTGTGTGGTGTGTGTGTGTGGGTGTGTGTGTGTGTGTGTGTGTGTGTGTTGTGCGTGCATGCGCACGTGCACCTAATTGTACTCACCTAATTGTGGTTGCAGGGGTCGAGACTTAGCTCCTGGCCCCACCTCTTCACTGAGTGCTATTAAGCCCTCTCTCTTCCTGCTCCATGAGCTTTATCATACCACATCTTAAAGCTATGTATGGTTCCTGCCTCCACTACCTCACTTGCTAGGCTATTCCCCTTCCTGACTACTCTATGACTGAAGAAATGCTTCCTAACATCCCTTAGACTCATCTGGGTCTTCAACTTCCAATTGGCCCCCAAACCTTGATAGGGAGTGCAGTAAGCTGTTATGGGATGAAAATGTTGTGATAATGGGAGATTTTAACTTTAGACAAATTGATTGGAATAATATGACAGGAAATCTTGAGTCTAATGACTTTCTTGATATGGTTCAGAATTGCTTTTTAGAACAGGCTGTGACAGAGCCAACTAGAGTAAACAATCTGCTTGACTTGGTTCTTTCCAACAAAGATTCACT